AAGTATTGTAGCTGATGTTACTGATGATGAAGGAAGGCTTCTTGTAAGTATTGTAGTTTATGTTACTGATGATGAAGGAAGGCTTCTTGTAAGTATTGTAGTTTATGTTACTGATGATGAAGGAAGGCTTCTTGTAAGTATTGTAGTTTATGTTACTGATGATGAAGGAAGGCTTCTCCACATGAAATTATCTGTTTACAGAATAAGGCTTAGAAGTGTTTCTACTTATCGAATAATACTGTGGATGAGATAACAGAAAACTATATCTAAGCACAAGTTAAAACATGTATGTTCTTAATTGAACAGAAACTTCAAGATATCCTGACATTTTTATTGGACAACATCCTAAAAATAAGAGTACAGGAAAACTCAGTGGGAAAGAATGTAATTATTTTTAATCTTGTGATGTCCATTTCAAACAACATAACACTTTAACTTTGTAAGATATATTTCGCTGTTTTGTTATCATTATTAATGATCTTAACTGTAAACTGTTTGATTGAGACAATATTGAAATGAAGTTGGTAGACCTTTTCAGGAAGGAGTAAAACATAGCAAAGTTGCAACTTTGAGAAAAAAAACTCTATCAAATAACTTCATAAGAATTAAATAATCACGTAATCTGTCATTCCTACTGAAACACGTGGTCTATAAATCTAATTATCAATCAAATGGTCCTCAGAAACTCAAGTGACTATAGCCTCTATAAATCCAATTCTCCAGCAGATGGTCTTCAGAAACTCGAGTGGTTATATCCCCTATAAATCCAATCCTCGAGCAGATGGTCTTCAGAAACTCGAGTGGTTATATCCCCTATAAATCCAATCCTCGAGTAGATGGTCTTCAGAAACTCGTGTGCTTATGTCCTCTATAAATCCAATCCTCGAGTAGATGGTCTTCAGAAACTCGAGTGGTTATATCCCTATAAATCCAATCCTCCAGCAGATGGTCTTCAGAAACTCGAGTGGTTATATCCCCTATAAATCCAATCCTCCAGCAGATGGTCCTGAGAAACTCAAGTGGTTATATCCCCTATAAATCCAATCCTCGAGCAGATGGTCTTCAGAAACTCGTGTTGTCATATCCCCTATAAATCCAATCCTCCAGCAGATGGTCCTGAGAAACTCAAGTGGTTATATCCCCTATAAATCCAATCCTCGAGTAGATGGTCTTCAGAAACTCAAGTGGTTATATCAGTCTCTAATTAGCTACTTAATATATTTAACGATCTAGCGATTACAGAGTTATTGTAAGCTTATAGTCAACAATAACACTCGAAGTGTCTAATAGAAAAGTGCTTTGTCTTACAAAACGATTTGTCACTCACTTTCTAATGGAGAAGTTGAATCGCTTACAAATCTTCTTCTGGGCGTGTGTGAGATATGTTTTAAACTGCCTTAAAAAATAAAAACCTGTTGTCCTTAAGACCTCTCATCTAGTGGTTGGCTGAGTTTACTAGAATACAGTGAAGAACACTAGAACCTCTAGGTGACCCTGTAGACTACAGCATGAATCGGCGATAATCTAATTTTCAAACATATTTTTAGATTAATTTTCTGTCCACATGCATCAATAACTTGTTCTGTGTCGCTCATTACAGCCACGTTCTGCTGGGGGAATTAATCACTCTCTTCTCCTCCAGTCTCACAGCACATAAAAACACCAGTAAACAGCATTAAACAACAGAAACGAAACAGGAAACACTAACCGAGAGTATTTGTCGATTTTATTTACGTCCTTTATTTTGGGGATGGATGCTTTTAATGCACTTGCTCCTCTTCTGATGCTCTGGAGAACTTTCGGTTTCCTTCTCCCGCCATAATCAGCTCTGGAGGAGTAGGAAAATCTGTGGGCAAGGTTGCTCATGCGGAAAGACGGAGGGAATCTGACCTCTGACTCACTGGGTGAACTACATGCTCTGTTTCTGTTGCGCAAACAGGGAATGGGAGACATCCTGACATCTTGAAGTTGTATTATCTCTTCTTGTTTCTGTTGGGAGATAAAACGTATGGATAACTGTTTATATTAAAGTAGATTGAATCATTAAACAGATTCAACCACAAACTTGTAATTAGATAATAACCAACGGTGCTCGGAGATGAAGTAGGCCTTGCCATGTAAACATGAAATAATACCTAGTCATGAAGTAGGCCTTGCCATGTAAACATGAAGTAATACCTAGTCATGAAGTAGGTCTTCCCATGTAAACATGAAGTAATACCTAGTGATGAAGTAGGCCTTCCCATGTAAACATGAAGTAATACCTAGTCATGAAGTAGGCCTTCCCATTTAAACATGAAATAATACCTAGTGATGAAGTAGGCCTTCCCATGTAAACATGAAATAATACCTAGTCATAAAGTAGTTCTTCCCATGTAAACATGAAATAATACCTAGTGATGAAGTAGTTCTTCCCATTTAAACATGAAATAATACCTAGTGATGAAATAGGCCTTCCCATGTAAACATGAAATAATACCTAGTCATGAAGTAGGCCTTCCCATTTAAACATGAAGTAATACCTAGTGATGAAGTAGGCCTTCCCATGTAAACATGAAATAATACCTAGTCATGAAGTAGGCCTTCCCATGTAAACATGAAATAATACCTAATAATGAAGTAGGCCTTCCCTTCATTTGCTACTTGAAAGTGAGAATACCATTGTTCAAAAATCAATACTCTTGTAAAATTAGAAAACATTAATCCTTGATGATCGTCAATCCAACACCAATAAATACAGGCAAAGTAGTACTAACGTTTATTTTAATATTATTTAAATAGTTTTTGTATTTGACTTTCAATAAAGTTTTATAAGCTTTGTGTTTAAACTGGATAATACAAATAGTTATACAGTGATGCTTTCTGTGTTATTTTGGTATTCTGTTTGCATCGGCCAACCAGATTTGTTTAATATTTTGTAAACGTAGCAGAGAATGTTTTATATTTTCTGTCACACATAGAGCTTTGATTAGATCATATAATATTGTTAAACGTATACGTATCTTATCAGCAACTGGACAGTGTGTCTTATGTCGTGGTTGTAGTAACGGTAAGAAATAAGCTTCCTTTTAGCAACTGGACAGAGTGTCTTATGTCGTGGTTGTAGTAACGGTAAGAAATAAACTTCCTTTTAGCAACTGGACAGAGTGTCTTATGTCGTGATTGTAGTAACGGTAAGAAATAAGCTTCCTATCAGCAACTGGACAGTGTGTCTTATGATTGTAGTAACGGTAAGAAATAAGCTTCGTCTCAGTTCCAGGACTATGTATCGTCCATTCAAATTTACTCATTAAAAAAAATCAAAGTTTATGAACTTATTTTTACAATATTTAGTTTTCAAATGAAGGTTACCGGGAATCCAGTTTCAGACTCCTCTGGCTCTTTGGTCTTCTTCTTCTTAGCCCTAGCTCCCCAGAAAGTGTAGTTTACAGCAGCATACTCCAGCAGGGCGGCGAAGACGAAGACGAAACACATCACCAGGTAAATATCGATAGCTTTAACATAGGAAATACGGGGCAAGGAAGACCGTACTCCGGTACTGATTGTGGTCATGGTTAACACGGTGGTTATACCTGAAAATATTCGGTAGAGGGAATTACTAACGGTTTATTCTGTAGTCTTAACGTGTTAAGAAAGGTTTAACTTCACACAAATCTCAGCATAACTTAATCTACAAATTTCAGAAGAACAGGGACAGCAGTGATTCTACTCAACATTAATAGGTTGGTGTCAGTGAAAAACAAAACAAAACATAAACATGTATTCGAACATATAATATAGTTCAATTATTCCTATGTCCTTACCATGTCAATATATAAAAACATCTATATCATGACGTAAGCATGCTATTGTACAGTTTTGCACGTGCTTACCAAGTGCCACTCGTGCCGACGTTGCCTCGTGGTTGATCCAGAAGGAAACCCACGATAACATCACGATTAGTATGGACGGTAAGTACGTTTGAAAGATGAAGTATCCAATGTTCCTCTTCAGTTCAAAACTCAGCGAGAGACGCTGGTAAATACCTGTCAAAGGTGAAAACCATATTTTACTTACTTGTACAGCTTAAAAAATAACTGCTGAGGTTAATCGCATTTCCTGAGATCGATGTTTCTGACCACGTGCTCACCTTGGATCTACTTCCTCCATGGTGTTGAGTTTGATGGCCATAGTTACGAACCTTTGTCCAAATCTGTATTTTCAATTGTAATAAGTTTCTTTGGGGGACAGCAAGATTAACATAAGCTATTTAAAAAAAGAATGATACACTTCCCATAAACTTTCCAACATGACTTGATGTGGACTTCTGATACTACATTGAAGAGCCACAGCAATGTATTAGAGATTCGTCTTTATTTAAAGGTACCAAAATATATTTCAGCCCTGTCATAATTCCTAGAATGTTTTTTTTTACAACCTATACTTTACGGATAAGAATGTTGCTCGGGATTGTGGGCCAGAAGGTTCTTTATCGTATTTACAACCTTTACTATACCAATCAGTGTTGCTCGAGATTGTGGTCCAGAGGGTTCTTTTTCGTGTTTGATTGTTTGTTTGTTTGTTTTTGAATTTCGTGCAAAGCTACACGAGGGCTATCTGCGCTAGCCATCCTTAATTTAGCAGTGTCAGACTAGAGGGAAAGCAACTAGTCAACACCACCCACCGCCAACTCTTGGGCTACTCTTTTACCAACGAATAGTGGGATTGACCGTAACGTTATAACGCCCCCACGGCTGAAAGGGCGAGCATGTTTGGTGTGACGGGGATCGTGTTTGAAGTCCTTTGATACCTTAAGTCATTTAACATGTAAGTTTCTTTGTTTTCATGACTCAAATACCTTCTTTGAAGAGTTATGGCACTCTCATAATGTAAGATCAACACACGGCAATGTTCTTTGTTTGATTACAAATGTGGGAATACAAAAGCAATAAAATATAGTAATGTGGCCCCATCTGTTGACAACTATCATAGTTTAAATATTATATTTTTTGATTATTACTTACCTTTAATTAAATATGTATGTACATTATGTATAAGACATATTACATCATAATATGTGCCCAGCTGTTTATTTTTAAATCATACGTTTCTTTCATTTCAGATACAGTTATGAAAACTATTCTGTTACCCTGGTAACGTTATCATGGTAACATTCCTGTCTGTTATAGATGCTTGAGACTTTGCTATGTAAAGATCCGTTACCATGGTAAAGTTTATATCTATTATAGATGCTTGAGAAGCCTGTTATGTAAAGATCTATTACCCTGGTAACACTTATACCTATTATAGATGTCTGAGAGCTTGTTATGTAAAGATATGTTACCATGGTAACACTTATACATATTATAGATGCTTGAGAGTTTTCTGTGTAAAGATATGTTACCGTGGTAACGTTTTTGCCTGTTATAGATGCTTGAGAAGCCTGTTATTTAAAGATATATTACCCTGGTAACACTTATACCTATTATAGATGCTTGAGGTGTTTGCTTTTAAACTAAATTATAACTCGATAGTATTGACTTCTCTTTGGTTGAAGAATGTGACAGGCTATATTATTTAAAATAATACAAATAAATATATAAACGTAGGTCTCTAGATAGCTTCTAGTAAACAGGATAACTTGTTTACCTGTTGCTAGAACCTCTGTTCTATCTGTTGTTTCGTAACGTATCACAGAAAACTGAGGAAGCTTGGCCCGTTCTACCCCAACCACAGGGTAAGGTTTCCAGTACATTACGACATCACGTACGGTATAGCCATCTAGTGAGGTAAAATAAAACTATCTTATTGAAGGCCTGTATTATGTAATAATAGAATATCCGTGCATTCTATGTTAAAACTATATTATGTAACTTCGTAAAAAAATTAATTACGTTGTAAAACTTTAAACTAGATAAAATTTCTTTATTTTTACAACAAAATTATGTAATTAATGGAAAAAACTTAATTTTAGTTTTATTTTTGAAAGTAAGATAATTTATCCGTTTTCGTTTGTTCCAAGTTAAGCACAAAGCTACAAAATGGCTATGCTATGCCCACCACGAGTATCGAAACTTGGTTTTTGTCACTGAGACTCTGAGAGACATCAGTTTTTCGTAAAAACAACAACAACTAACAATGGTATACCGGGTTTTGAATAAATATATTAATCTAACAACTTTATTTCTAACACACTAAGAATCTTCGTGTAAATATAATAATCTAACATTGTTGTCAATTATAATAATCTAACATTCTTGTCAATTATAATAATCTAACATTCTTGTCAATTATAATAACCTAATATTTTCGTATAATTATAATAATCTAACATTCTTGTCAATTATAATAATCTAACATTCTTTTCAATTATAATAACCTAATATTTTCGTATAATTATAATCGTCTAACAGCATAATATGAACAAAGTTTAGCCATTTGAAAGCGATATCGATCAGGTAGAACTGTAAAACTTGGCATAAATCGATAACAACAGATATCAAGGCTTCCGTCCGTAGCCATTGCAGGTAAGGCAACAAAGCATTATTTCATCCCTTCACTCATGCGTCATACAAGTTATATATGACAAGTTTGTTTCACACAAATTACAATAAATATAAGGCAATGGAGAGACTAATGTCTTGGTTCTACTCGTTATTAGGTTCTTCAAGACTTCAGTGACTGGTCACAGGTAAGGAATGGAGAGACCAGTGTCTTGGTTCTACTCGTTATTAGGTTCTTCAAGACTTCAGTGACTGGTCACAGGTAAGGAATGAGAGACCAGTGTCTTGGTTCTACTCGTTATTAGGTTCTTCAAGACTTCAGTGACTGGTCACAGGTAAGGAATGGAGAGACCAGTGTCTTGGTTCTGCTCGTTATTAGGTTCTTCAAGACTTCAGTGACTGATCACAAGAAAGGGATATTCGTCAAGGCTTAAACTTTATCCTGTGTCATTACTGAGCAACACGTATAATTTCTTGTGACAAATTTTCTGGGACTTACTTTACGAACGTTTTTTATATATTTTTACTGTAGGTACGTTTATATATCTTTACTGTAGGAACATTTTATATATCTTTACTGTAGGAACATTTTATATATCTTTACTGTAGGTACGTTTTATATATTTTACTGTAGGTACGTTTTATATATCTTTACTGTAGGAACATTTTATATATC